CCATTCCCTACAAAGAACCAGTCAGAAGACTGACAGGCCGGACTTGATCCTGAGACTCTTCCGCGGCGAGGCCCCTTCCGCCCTTGCTGGGGAGTGTTTTGGGGGAGTAACCCTAAGCCCTACCTGGACCCCCAAAGAACCTACCTTTTTAGGGTTCCTTAATTATGATTTCTTTACAGAAGTCCTTAAAAGAGGTAGGTTATTTGGGGTTAAGGTAAACCCTAAACTGCCCTAAACCCTAAAACCCTAAACCCGAAACCCGGACTAAACCCTAACACCCGAGTTTTGAGGAGTATCTATATAGGGCTCCTTAGCATAATTTATAAGTTATAATATCAGATGCCCCAAAACCCTATTCTAATTATTAAGGCCCCTAGGGTTCGGGGCTGTAAAGGTCTAGGGGTGTATGGTGGAACTTGAAAGTCTCTGCGGTGTGTGTGAAAGAAAGAAACAAGTGACCGTTTTGTAGCACTTTGTGCGCCATTGGTGTGTGTGTGTGTAGACATACTTTAAAATAAGTATACTCATGTCTACTCATTTATTTATTCATTCATCTGTGTATTTCTAGTCCTAGCTTAGTGCCAGAAGGTCTCCCGGACTCCAGGAAGGATCTATAGGGTTTAGGGTTCAGGGATGCTGTTTTCTAAGAGTCCACGAATTTGGGCTGAGACGCAAACCCCTCGAAAGACTGTGAGCCCTCACGTGCCACAGAGGGGAAGAGCTCGACAGGGTTTGAGAAGGAGGTATGTTTGCAGTATATAGAGATGCAATATAGGGTGCCAATACTATTATGGGGCTCCTTCTATACTTGGGATTGTATACTAACCCCGCTCTTTTACATTTAGTCTTGACCGGTCCCTGCTTGTTGTTTCAAGCGTTTTCCGTCGTTTTGTAGTATAATCCGAGACCCTACTCTAATTATGGGATTTCGATTTTGCGGCCTCCGTGGATGAGCGATTGGTAGATTTGTGGTTCTTGGCACAAGCGGTTTAGGGCTTAAGGCTGTATTCTGTATAGGGTTTAGGGTGTAGACAAACGGGTCTTGGGATCATGGCTTGGAGTGTCTCCACCTCCTGAGCTGCTGGCAGACGACGACCCAGCGATCTGGACGCTACGAAGCCCTTTGGCGCTGACTTGAGTCGGAGGTCATGTGGGTTTCTTCAATTTAGGTGTCCCTTTAGTTTGAGGGTTT